AAAAACAAAAAAAAAAACCCATGAAAAAAAAAAAAAAAAAAAAAAAAAAAAAACAACAAAAAAAAAAAACTTTGCACTGTTGATACATACTCGGTTTGCTTCTAGATTTCCCTACAAAGAATGAGGTTTTAACAAACAACTTCTATGAGGTAGGTTCTTAGGAATGTGATTATTAACTATACATATATTTAATGTGGACAAATACAATATACCTGTCCTTCAAGAATATTTAAACATATACATTTCGTCCATATCAACAGTAGGTGTCATGGATTTTGTTGTTTTGATAGTGTGAACCCAATATTTTCCCTTATTATTTTAATTAACAGTAGAAAGCATTAACCAAATCAATACTACTACTCTTCTAAAATGTTACTGGCCTCCATGGATATAGAATAATTTGAGGAAGAAATGTTGTTCTGGTCAATTAAGAGAAGTTTTGTGGCAGTCCAGGTAAAAGATATGGATGACAAGTGAGTACTGGATAAGTGTAAGGAAGACCAGCCAGGGTGTGGTGTGGAGTCAGAAATTCTTGCTAGCTGTAGGGATGGGGAAGAGAATGTAATCATACATGACTCCCAGTGTTCTCAAATAAGTCACAACTGTGGTCATTGGCACCATTTAGTGAAATATAAAACACTTAAAGTAATAAGTTGGAATGAGAAAAGAATAGTTCAGTGTTGAAATTGCCTTCTAGACATCTTAGTAAGATTATCTCTGGGCAGCTGGATGTGCCTGGAGTGGAGAGTAACGAACTAAAAATAAAATAAAACTGTCCTGTAAGTTATAGGTGAAGCTTTGCTCATGGATAGAAAGCTGAGCCCTTAGGAAGTACAGATAAGTAGCTGGAAACAACTCTTGAGTAGTATACAGGGCTAGAAAAAAAAGAGTGTTCCCATGCAGAAGCTGGGCACAACCTGAGGCCGGGGAACAAGGACAGAAAAATATGTCTGTGTGTTCAGGAAAGGCATCAGTCTGTATCAGCAGCTCAGCTCACTTGGTCACTTCTGATAGCATATCACTGGTGTAGGCTGTGAACAGAAGTGCACTAAAGGTCTCCTCAGAAGTCAACTTTATATTTGTACTCTTCACTGTCATGATTCCTGACATTCAAAATTTGTTTACATTTCAACAGTTCCTGGAGCTTTAAAGAACAATGTAAAGTCTTTTTAAAACTTGATTCCTTTTTTAAATGTAGAAGAGACTCTGACTCATTGGCCCTTTTCACATTTGCTGGACAGTCTTGAGTGTTTACAGCCTGAGCCCAGCTCTGTGTCTTACTAGGAGGGGAATCTGGCAAAGTCTTTTGCATTTTTCTTCTGTGCAATAGAAGTAATAGTTCCCAACATGAAATTTTTATTGTTAGTAATAAGTAAAATTTGTAAGGCCCAGCTATTGTAACTATTATGTAAACGATAGCTATCTGTCTCCTTATTTTATAGACTTACTATACTTTCTTTTATACATTTTTAGATATTTTTATTTTATGTATATGAGTGTTTAGTCTGCATGTGTATGTACCACATACTAGAGACACGGGGTCCCAAGAAACTGGGAATTGTAGATGGTTGTCAGATGCCATGCTGGGAACCAAACCTGGGTCCTCTGGAAGAGCAAGTGCTCTTAACTGCCAAGCCATCTCTCCAGCCCCTGTAAAATATTTTAAATCTAAATTATATTAAAATGGGTTCATCTATACTATTCACTTAGAACTTTCTGTTTTACAGAGTTGACGAATCTATGACCTATGGAAACATAATGTATGACAGAAGGGTGATCCGAGGCAACACCTATGCACTACCCGCAGGACAGGTGGTAAGCAGTCGGAATAGTTGTCCTCATTCAGTTCTGTTGCTGTAACAAGCACCATGACCAAAGTAGTTAGAGAAGGAAAGGCTTATGTGGCTAACACTTCCAGGTCACAACCCATCATTGAGGGGAGCCAGGGCAGGAGCTCATGCTTATACAGCCTAGGGATGGTGCCCCCCACAGTGGGCTGGGTCCTTCACATCAACCATTAGTCAAACAGTCTTGTGCAGACAAGGCCACAGACCAATCCTATCTGACTAGGTACTCAGTCAAGCTTTGCTGCTCCCAGGTGACTCTGGGTTTGTGACAAGTCGACAATAAAAACTAACGGGACAGCTGTCTACCAGTGCTTTCATGTTACCTGTGGTGAAGGGTCAGTTATATGTTTGTGTCACATTTTGATCTGCCACCTAAAACATTCATAAAATAAATAAAAAATTACTTGAAGAGTGAATTTTTAAAATACATAGAAGGTGGGGGTGTGGGCCATGATAGAGTAGTTGCCTAGCATTGCAAGGCCTTCAGTTCAGTCCCCAACACTGCCCCCCAAAGTATGTGTGTAGTATGTATGTATGTATGTATGTATGTATGTATGTATGTATGTATATATATGCATATGTATGTGTGTATATGTGTATATATGTATGTGTGTGCATGCATATATATGTAGGTACTTGCAGGAGCTAGAGAGGAAAGGAGTTATTGTTTGATGGGCCCAGAGCTTGAGTTTCAGAAGAGCAAATAGTTCTGACGGTGAGCAGTGGTGGTTGTCACTGCAGTGTGGCTGTTCTCAGGACCATGGAGTTGTATACTTAAGGACAGTGGGTGTAATGGGCAGTTCACTGTTTCTGCCCCATCTGCCACTGTTTTCTTCAGTATTCTCTAAAGGTTGAGCCCTTTCACCAACCAATACATTCCCCAGCATAAAAAGGAAAAAGTGGTAACTTTTACATTTTATGTATTTTCCACAATTATAAATAATTACTAAAATAAGTCCTAATTTTTTATTCAACAGGATCCTAGTGGACCCTCTGAAAGTTTCTAAACTTTGACTTTGGATTTTTGTACTAAATGTTGTAGATCAATTTAAGCAATTCACAGACACCACTAGTGTGAAGCCATGTTCTGGCTGGCATCTGACAACATTTAGTTTGGTTTAGCTTGTCTTATCCCCTCCTACTGATATTATTTAATTGAAAAGTCTGAATTGCATATTGCCCAATCAAAAGTACTTACTTAGTTTCAAGATCTAGCTAGACTGAATACCTTGGATACAGAGATGAGTGAGACATGCCATAGTAGTAAGTGGTGATTTCTTGGCATAGACTTCACATACAGTAACTCCATAAGCCCTGCAAATGGCCATCTGTGTAGCATTACAAACTAAGTAGTAGATCCCATGCCTGGGTCTGCGTCAGCATCACCTGGAAAACTGATTAAAAAGATGTGTCTCAGCCTTGCCCTTTGCCCCAGTCTCCTGCATCAGGACCTCTAGGGCTTGAATACCTAACTATGCTTTGTTTTCCCGAGACAGAGACTCACTATCAAGACTGCATTTTTAAATAAGCTTCTCTAGACACTTTTGGTACAGCTGGCTCAGGAAGATCCACACATGGGATCTATTGGGTTGCTTTATTTAGTAGTACAGTGAGCACAGTATACCTAAACAAAAGTGGAAAAGAAAATAATTCTGGGGGCTGGAGAGATGGCTCAGTGGTTAAGAGCACTGGCTGCTCTTCCAGAGGGCCCAAGTTCAATTCCCAGCATCCACATGGCAGCTCACAGCTGTCTGTAACTCCAGGTCCAGCAGATCTGGCATCCTCACACAGATATATACAGGCAAAACATCAATGCACATAAAATAAAAATAAAAATTATAAAAAAAGAAAATTCTGTTTTTACAACTTCTTTAGTCAAATAATCAGTACCTTACTATAAAAACCTGCCCTAAAACGTCCTGTTCTTCCTTGTTAGGACTAAAATCCCCTAAGTCACATTCTCAGAAACCCACATACCCAGCAAGAGTGCAGATCCATACCCTACTCAGCATGTGGAGGCACTGGGCACAAAAGTAGAGCAGAAAGCTGAATTTCCACCCTCACACACCCACAGTGAGGTAGGTAGTAGGAGACACACAGGTTGCTGCCCTACTTTTTCTGAGTGCTGACAGCAAAGCCAGTGTAGAGCTAAGTTTGTTCTAATAGTAATAAGAAGAAACAATAGGATAACAGTCGGTGCTGCAGCTCCCCCCAAACACCAGACCTACACCCCTACCAGTACCATTAAGGTTGTGTCAGTAGAGCCTAGCAGGAAATAAGGCTCCCATCCCCGTCAAACGCACACCTACTGCAAAAAGAGTGACCTTGTACTGAAAAGAATTAAGTTGGACCTGAAGTGTCACAACATAGGGCTCCAAATCTCTAACAGTAAGAAGTTATTCATTATAAAAACCAGGACAGTCTCACATGAGATAACACAATCAAGATGACAATATATGATAACTCAGATGGAGGAATCATAAGACAGTCAAAATTATTTTAACCAGAGGTGAAAATTTGTGAATACTTTATACAAACAAATAAGCAACTTAGCAGAGAAAAAATAAGTCACTTTCAAGAAGTTATATGCTGTAGAATTCCTTGTATGTAATTTTTTTAAAAAAAAATTGTTACATAGCTAATAGGATTTTAAGTGTTCCCAACTCAAAAAAATGTCACACATGCTCATTGTGATAATCTAATCACTACACTTTATATATGTGTGTTGAAATGTCACACTGTGACCTGTGAATAAACACACTTGCTTTGTGTTGATTAAAAATGAAAATGGGAACCAGGAATGCTCAGTTATCAAAGTGTGTGCCTTTCAGTCGTTGTGAGGAACCGAGTATGTCCTCCAGCTATAGCATACATAGTACATGTCACACTCACAGACATGAGCATTCCCATATACAAATGTACACAGTTACACACAAGATTTAAAATGCATTTCAATTTCAAATTTTAAATATTGAAATTTTTCATACAAAATAATTTCCAAATTTCCTTTTTGTAATTGTCTTAACTTAAAACAGGCAGTGTTTTCAGCCCTTTAATCAACTTATTTTGTGTACTTGAAGAAGCCCCCCCCCCTTTTTTTTCCGAGACAGGGTTTCTCTGTAGCTTTGGAGGCTGTCTTGGCACTCCAGGCTGGCCTTGAACTCACAGACATCCACTTGTCTCTGCCTCTCAAGTGCTGGGATTAAAAGTGTGTGCCATCATGGCCCGGCTTGAAACTTTCTTTGGACTCAAGATGCTTTCTCTTTGAACTAAAAATTTTTAAGGGAAATATATTCAATTGAATTCAGATGTTTAAAAAAAAAAAAAAAGCCCTAGTGGTTTTCAATTTCTTAACTATCCAGCAACATTTACTGTAACAGATTAAATGTATCCTTACTAGGCACCAGAGGAACTGATGGTAAAAGTGCTTGCTTGAGGAAAAACAGGTGATTAACTAGGATTCTACACCCATGTGTGCCAGTGTGGATTTGCTGTTAGCTTGGTGTCACCTGACCACATCCCAGCAAAATGGCCACATGGCACCACTGGTCAGAGGCATTAGCTGACACATGCTTTGGCGGTAGCCAGGAATGGCTTTGTCAGTGGCAGTGGCCATCCACTTTGAGAACTGATGTCTGATGTTTCTAAGCCTCATCTATCCCTCTCAGCCCGGACAGCCTGATCCTCTGGAGCTTCAGCGACAGCAGCAAGCCAGGAGGAAGTCTCTTGCCAGGAAACGAGCCCAGGCGCAGCTCAGGCCTCGGACACCCGAGCCTGTGGAGGGCAGAAAGCATGTGGATGTACAGACAGGTAGCTGACCATGCCCCTGGCACACGGTTCACTTGGAACTTATGTTTCCTTTCCTTTCTATCATTTGTGGATCTCCTGTGTTTATTAGCCCTTCCCCAGTCCCATTGTGGGGAAGTGTGTTCAGTAAACAGATGCACAGAGCATAGGTTGTTACAAAGTTGGGAGTGCTACAAGAAGGGGTTTGGATTTGGTAAGAGTTCCCTGAATACTAACTCTCTCTCATCCCTTCCCCCATATTATATGGCTGTCTTAGTTGAGGTTACTGTTGCTATAATGAAACACCTTGATCAAAAGCAAGTTTGGAGGAAAGGATTTATTTGATTCACATTTCCCCCCTTGTAGTTCATGAAGGAAATCAGGACAGGAACTCAAACAGGGCAGGAACCTGGAGGAGCTGATGCGGAGGCAGTGGAGGGTGCTGCTTACTGGCTTGCTCCCTGTGGCTTGCTCCGTCTGCTTTGTTATAGAACCCGGGACCACCTGCCCAGTGATGGCCCCACCCACAATGGACTGGGCCCTCCTCATCAATCACTAATTAAGAAAATGCTCTCAGCTGGGCAGTGGTGGCACACACCTTTAATTCCAGCACTCCGGAAGCAGAGGCAGACGGATCTCTGTAATTCGAGACCAGCCAGGTCTACAAGAGCTAGTTCCAGGACAGCTTCCAAAGCCACAGAGAAACCCTGTCTCAAAAAAAAACAAAAACAAAAGGAGAAGAGGAGGAGGAGGAGGAGAAGGAAAAAGAGAAAGAAAGAAAGAAAGAAAGAAAGAAAGAAAGAAAGAAAGAAAGAAAGAAAGAAAGAAAGAAAGAAAATCCTCTCTACAGTCTTGCCTACAGGGGATCTTATGGAGGCGTTTTGTCAGTTGAGGTTCTCTCTTCCAGGTGCCTGTGTCAAGTTGATAAAATTAGCCAGCACACTTTCAAAGTAGGATTATTACTCACAACCCAACAAAAGTCACCTTTCTTTTCATCAAGACTGACCAGGGGGGTTGCGGATTTAGCTCAGTGGTAGAGCACTTGCCTAGCAAGCTCAAGGCCCTGGGTTCAGTCCTCAGCTCTGGGAAAACGAAAGAAAGGAAAGACTGGCAAGAGAGCATTGCAGCTCTGTCTGCACATTTTACTTGTCTATCAGTAAGAGTGAGCCACTCATATTTAGTCACCTGCCTTTCACACTGGCCTCTCTCCTTTGCTCTCCATGACTTTTCATGTAGGTGCTCCTAGGTAAGTTCCAAGGTTTGCTGCTTCTCTCACTCTGCTCACCTGTGCAGACTTTCATTTTAGGGAGCTGAGGAGGCCCTGACTGAATGTGTAAACAGCAGAGGAAGGCATGAGTGAATGTGTAAATAGAAGAAGCCCTCAGAATGTGTAAACAGCAGATGAAGTTCTGAGTAAATGTGAGTTGTTGACATAGGCATAACCATGGCAAGGCCTAGTACTGCAGACCCACAGGACATTGGCAAAGCCTTCTACTGGTCTGAATGTGAACGTGGACAGTGTCCAAATATGAGTGTTCACAGGTGATTGACCAGTGTGTGCAAAAACTAGCAACTGAAGACTTGTCCTCCCAGATGTTTACAACCAGAGACTGCTTGCCGAGACTAGCTAACCACTTCCCACCCCCCACCCATGGGGTGCATAATAAGTGTGCTGAGATTCTGGGTTGCTGTGATAGTAGGTGCTCCTCCATCAGAGTGAGCATAGCCCACCTGGCCCCAGCTTTTCTGGACATGTGTCTGTGTGTCTGTCCTTTCTTCATTCACTTGCTGCCCCTGTCAAGTTTCCAGGACCAAACCCCTACTGGACAAGGCCTTTCCTACTGACAGAATCTTGGTGAGCTGACAATACTTGGTGTTTTCCAGAGACTGGTGTGACTTGAGATTCTTCTTCTATCCAGTGGAGACCATGAGAAGACTCACCAAGGTTATTTCTGGAGTAAAAGCAAAAAGAATAAACCACACTGCTTCCCTGGCCCTTGTCAGGGATTAGCCATCTTTGGGATTCTGACTGCTAAGGCTTATCTTGGTCCTAGGTGTGTCCAAAAGCTATAAATGTGGCCAACACAAAACTGTAAACTCAAAACATGAGAGGTTTTACTAACTTTTATTTTGTACCTTGATTGTGTGGATCTCAACTTTGTAGATGCCATGTCATGTCATAAGCACAGAAGACTGGACACAGAGTTTGTTATCATCTGAACATTAAATGATACAGCCCTCCTTTTTATTTACTGCTCCCTCTGCCCCTTTACCTGTGACTCTGTTGTGTTAAAAAGAGTCCATGTGACAGGTAACTTTGGTCCTTTTTACAAAGTGAGGGCAGAGAACACTATCTTGACTGGACCCTGTGTTCAGCCTTTGACACCAGTGTTGAAGTCTTGTGTGATGTCACATTGCCCTGCATCACCAAGTTACTAATGTGACATTTACTTGTGTCTGTTTCTAAACTATGCTATAGAGAATACCAAAGAGCAAGTTAGTTTGGTGCATGATTCTTAAAATTCCCAGAGTCCTTAAATTCTTAACACACTATTGCAAATCCTGTATTTACTAAAGATGCAATCTCTTACTATAGACCCTGAGTTGACCTTAAATATGAGATCCTCCTGCCTCAGCCTCCTAAGTGCTGGGATTGCAGGTGTGAGTCACCAGGCCTGGTAACTTAGTTCTATTTGTGGAGAGCTGACATTTCAAATAGATGTCTATGCCTAAAATAATTCATAATCAATTGTACATAATGTTCTTCCTAGAATTATACCTTGAAGAAATTGCTGACCGAATAGTTGAAGTTGACATGGAATGCCAGACAGATGCATTTCTGGACAGACCACCAACACCACTCTTCATTCCTGCCAAAACTGGCAAAGATGTGGCCACTCAGATACTAATAGGAGAGGTACGGTACATCCTTCTGGCTTCCCTCTTCCTTCAAAGATGACATACAGTTAGGCTCAGGTAAAGCTTCATAGAGGCAAGAACCACTTCACAAACAAATTCACTGTTTGGATTTCTTTCTAGGTATTACCTACAGTGGTTTTATTCCTGTAGTACCAAGAAATTTTTTTGTTTGTTTTGCTTTTTGGGTTTTTTTTTGGGGGGGTGTTGTTTGTTTGATTTTGGTTTCCCAACTGTCCTGGAACTCGATCTGTAGACCAGGCAGGCTGGTCTCGAACTCACAGAGATCTGCCTGCCTCTGCCTCTGCCTCTGCCTCCCAAGTGCTGGGACTAAAGGCGTGCACCACCACCCGGGAAGAAATGTTTTTAAGTATACTATTTTGATTATTCCTACTTTCACAATTAAAAAAATCATTACAAACATTTTTACACATTCCATTTTGCTTACATAATTACTTATGTATGTACTGAAAATTTGTACCTCTCTCAGTGACTCCAAAAGTCACTTGTGGAGTGCATAACTTTTATGAAGGGACTGTATGTTTAAAAATTCTGAATGACATTTTCATCTCCATGTAGAATGCATGAATAGGTCAGTTTATGGAATAAAAGTTAATAACTACCTGAATAACGATGTAGAGAAGTGAGAATAAATGAACTTTAAAAGCTGTCACTAAAATTGGGAGACAAGGTTAGTTTTCAGGCACTGCACAGGAAGTATTGACTGTTAAACACAATGTGTACTGTTCTTGGTCCTTAGTAATGTTTAGCAGAAAAAAAAAGACAATATGAAAGACAGGAAATTTCCCTTTAGTTTCAGAATTCTGTCTTAAAATCATTGAGAGTTGGTGTTCATATTGATACATGTAGACTTCTTTCATTATTTTAACTATTATTAATAGAGTTTTGCCTATACTCACAATCCTCTTCTGTGTGCCTTGTGGGACAGCTTTGAGAGTGAAACACAGTGGCTTTGCAGAATCTGACACACAGACAACACTGTCACCCTCCTTTACACAGATAACACAGCCTTCTTCTCCTGTCATCCTCCTTTACATTCTTTTACACATTTGGTTCAGGATTAAAATTTTGTTTGCTTTCTTCTGTATTTAAGCTCTTTGACTTTGACCTTGAAGTCAAACCAATGTTACAAGTTCTGGTGGGGAAGACGATTGAACAGGCCCTTCTGGAAGTGATGGAAGAGGAGGAGCTAGCCAACCTGCGGGCCAATCAATATGCATATGAAGAAATACGCAATGTTGAACTGGCTGAAGTGCAGAGACTGGAAGAGCAAGAGAGAAGGCACCGAGAAGAAAAGGTGGAGCTGTCTGTCTGTCTGTCTTGCTCTTTTATTTCTCTTATTTCTTTGGGAATGAACCCAGGCCTTCCGTCCTCTATGTATAATATCTGGAGCTGTTCTTTAGTCTTTTGGCTACCTAATATATTACATTCAAGCTTACATTAGGCTAGTGATCTTTTTAAATACATGTGAAGAAGACCTGCAGTATGTGTCGCTCAAGCCTTTCCTGCAGATCATAAATCTCTCGTGGTTGACTTATATTTTGTAAGTTCCAACTCCTAGTAATGTATTTTAGTCAGCTTCCAAAAGCTCCCAGTGAAATGCAGGTTCCTATATTACATGTGTCCAAACTGGACGATGCTGTTAACTAACAAGAGTTTGGAAGGAGCATTAGAGAAAGAAATACCATAATTAGCCATCATCCAGTAGCAGAAAGATGAAAGGAAGGAAAGAAGGAGGGATGCTGGGGGCTAGTGGGGTAATGAGCAGAGACCTGAAGAGAGTGCTAAAAGTCTTTCTCTTGGTGGTCAGGACCTGGTTTCCAAATTATGTTTTATGAACCTTCAATAAGAAAAGTTTTATAACTCATTTTAATAAAGTGTAGCCTACAGCTACAAAAATCTATATTTAATCATATTTAAGGGCCTTTCTGTTATTGACAGTGGCTGTCACTCTTTCTTGTATGCTGCATAAACAGAAAGTAGTGCCAGAATACTTACACAGTGATAATGACTTCCCAAAGAGCCCAAATCACTGTGAAGAAAAGTATGTATATTTTCTGGAAAAGTCTTCTCAATACTTAATCAACTGGATTTTATATTTTCTTCCAGAATTACTAATAATTTTATGAAGAACATGGGACTCATAGTGAGAAATGTTCCTGTGCAAATCTTTGCTTGCATATATAAAATAAACACTGACTGCAGAAGCTATGTTGAAATAATATATATATATATATATATTGAAAAACTAGAATTTAAGTCATCTAGATTTGTACATGTTTTTAAACCTTGAAAATAGATTATTTGAAAAATAAGTTAATGCTGCCACTTCTATATAGGCACATAGAAAAGCATTCATTATCTCTATAGACGTTATGTGACCTAAAGGAGAAAACCACACAAAACAACAAGCTTTTGTGATCTTCAAAACCATTTCAGCTTTATTAATTCAAATAGATACTAAACACAAATCAAACCATTGGCCTGTGTTCTTTGATGGAAGTACATAAGGATAAAATTTCGTATTAGTACTACTTTATGATGTTACTAATAAAAATGCATGTGATTATCTATCATAGTTTTAGACAAGGTCTAAACAACTGTATAACCCAGGATAGCATTTAACTCACCCTTCTCCTGCCTCAGTCTCCCAAGTACAGGCATCAAATATCAAAGGTGTGTGCCATTGCATCTAGCTGCCATTATTTTTTTAACAGCTTGCATGCAGTTAAGCATAGAAATTATTTTACTTGAAAATGGGTCAGGAGATGAGTTTTACCTCAGGTTCCTTTATTTCTTCATAAACTTATTGCCCACTAATTGCTCAAACACGTTGCATTGCAGTGAGTCCTTGACAGACACTGTGCTGAGCTCTTTTGGCAGCTGTAGACTTCCACACACAGCCTCACTAGTTCCAGTGCTGGAGAGGACAAACTGTTCAGACATCCATTTGCAATGACATCTCTCCCTTGACAGGAACGGCGTAAGAAACAGCAGTGGGAAATCATACATAAGCACAACGAGACATCACAGAAGATCTCGGCGCGTGCATTTGCGCAGAGGTACCTGGCTGACCTTCTCCCATCTGTCTTTGACAGTCTCAGGAACAGTGGCTACTTTTATGATCCAATTGAAAGAGGTTTGTGGAGATTTTTGTTAGATTCATTCTGTTATACTGAAAATATTCTCACTGCTTCAAATTTATTTAATGTGTATGATTACTGTCCTAACTTTTTTTTGGTAATCTAGGTCAGCCTTAAGCTCATGATCCTCCTGCCTCCTCCTCCTCCTCCTCCTTCTGGGGGCTGGAAATACAGGTGTGTGCCGCCATGCACTGCCTCATGGCCGTTTTTATTTTAAATTGGAATTTTTATATTTCTGAGACAAAAAGTCAGTTATAGTTGTTTAAATATTGTTCATAATAGGTATCATGCCCTCTAAATAGTGCCATTATTGGATATCAAGAAAATTGTAAATATTTAAAGCAGTGTATTATAAAAGTGTCAGTTTAGGACATTAGCATCTCTTTATTGAGAAGCAGGATGATATATTAGAACAATGGACTTGATGTCAAATCATGAGTTTAGGCTCCAGTTTCATTAACTTTTATGACCTCCAGTTTCTTCATATTTGAAATGGTGAATTTTTAGGAATTAAATCATAAAGTACATGAAATTTTATATGCATAGATTCATTCTATAAGTTCTATTTCACTAGAGAGCCTTGGCTACCACATTTTTTGGCATTAGATGTGGTTCTAGAGCAACAAAAGTATAAGGATGAATATTTTTAATTACTTGGAACATTCCAGGCAGTAGTGGCACAGTCCTTTAATCCAGCACTAAGGAGGCAGAGGCAGGTGGATCTCTGAGTTTGAGACCAGCCTGGTCTACAGAGCAAGTTTCAGGACAGTAAGGGCTACGGAGGGAAACCCTGTCTTGAGAAATCAAGGGAAAAAAAGTATCTGGAACAATTTTCTGATTCCAACACATTCAGTTACTAAAGTCTTTTTTAGAATCTGCATGGAGGGCAGTAAAAACCTGTGACGTGAACTGTTTAACAGACTTATCTAGACAAATGCACTAGGTTGGCCTACTGTAAGAATCAAAGAATTTATTGACACTGTATATGAAACCTAGACAATTTGTGGAAAAAATAGGAATGATTATGCTGGTTGGTTGCTCCTAGCTTCTCTGGGTAAATTGACAAATTTACCCAGTGGGTTCCATGATAAAATTAGCCAACTGCTACCATCTCAGGTGACAAAGGACAACAGTGAACTCAGTGATAAAATTGATTTGCGATGCACATAAGTTAGAGGTTTCTGAGTAAATGGGAAGAGAATCTTTCTCCAACAGTCACAGAGCTGAAACTGCAGAAAATCAGACGGAAGCCCTCACTGTAAGATTGGCCAAATTCAACAAATATTCAAGTGCCAGTTTCTGGCTGTTGATGGCTTGAAAACACAGGCACTATTGGTAAAGAAGGACACGCTGTCACTTGGGATGGAGATGTGTGGGAGATCCCCACTGCAGCTGAGAACTGAACCCTTTAGTTCTTGAGCATTTATCTCACCCTCAGAAGTCTCTGCACCCTTAGCAAAATATGGAGCCTTACCCCTGTACCAAGATCTGTGTTAGTCGGGGCTCTCTAGAGAGGCAGGGCTGATAAACACAATGAGTCTATTATATAAAAATGGTACTTGTCAGAGTGGCTTATCCAATAAGTAGTTTGGACCATGAGGCTGGATGTCTCATCTGGTCTTCAGTAATCATTGAAATCCTGATGTAGGCTCTAATACCAGGGAAGGGATGAACTTGCCAGTGAGCCTGAGGGCAAGCAGACAAGAAGCAAAAGCTTCCTCCTCCCATGTCCTTTGTATAGGTTGCCACCAGAAAGTGTGACCCAGGTTTTAGGTGGGTCTTTCCACCTCAAATAATCCAGCCAAGGAAAGAGCCCTCACAAGTGTGCACAGTTGCTTCTGCCTTAGTTAATTCCAGATACAGTCAAGTTAACAACCAAGAATAGCCAGTTCAGCTGTGTTTAGGTATCAAGCTGATATGGAACTGCAGCATTGTTCTGCTTCCATCCTTTCTTGTGTTCTAGCTAGGTGTGTCAGTCAGCTGTCACCATGACAAAACACCTGGGGTCATCAGTGGAAAAGGGTGAAAGATTGATATTAGTTCAGGGTTCAGGAATTCCAACACAGATCCACACATAGTCACTTGACTCCATTGCCTCTGGGCCTGTGTGGGAAATCAAAGCTGTCACGGTAAACAAAAGGGGCGTGGTCCCAATGTGCCCTTCAAGAACACACTCTTCCTCAACTAGGCCCCACCTCCCAACACACCATCATCTGGGAACCATGAGTTTTGGGGAAATAGTTAAGATCCAAACCATAGAGTAGACTTCTTACTATCAGTCACAGAAAATAGTAATGTTTTAGTTTTTTGACTGTACCTCAGATATGCTATATATAAGAGCAAATACTGCATTCTATCACTCTCTGTTATCATCCTATTAAATAGATGCCCTAAAAACCATCTTGAAACTTTGAGTGTAGATTTAATGGGCAGTCTTGTGCTTGCACAGTGGGTTTCCCACTGAAGTTGGAGCAAAGTTTCTACTGATAGAAGCACTTAGTCTCCACCTCACCAGCAGTGCTTTTTAGATCACCCCTTCCCGGATACCCTTTCAGCTGGTCAGTTTCCATTGGCTCTGCCCTCAAGGGTGACTTCTCCTTCCCAGCAATGTTTATGTCCTGGCTTTCACTCCACTTCAGTGGAGTTCCCAGATCAGCATCTTCTCTCTGCCCTCCCACATTGACCCATCCAGCTCTGGTTGTGCCTATGGGCCCAGCTGTATTTTGATTCTGTGGAAAACCTCATGATTTGTAAAATACCACTTCTAATGAGAAGGGGAGTTGAGCAGAGCATATAGAGAATATATATGGACAGAATATGGCAAAAGTTGTTCTGTGTGAGTCTATTAATGGTTTATGTTGGGAAGATAGTGCTGCTGAGCAGTTACATTAGGAAGCAATAATGTCTAATGACTTGCAGAAATGGCTTAATGAAATTCTTTATTGCAGACATTGAGATAGGATTCCTTCCATGGCTAATGAATGAAGTTGAAAAAACTATGGAACACTGCATGGTGGGAAGAACTGTGCTTGACAGTAAGTTATTTTATATGAAAGCTGTTTCTAAACTTCTCAGTGGGGAAGAATAGTTGAGGAGGAAACATTAGAGTTGGTGGTGGTTCTCAAACTTGGTTTATCGGTTGCATTAACAAGGGTGCAGTTTCCACCCTCTGTTGATCTGGGCTTTCTATAGTTTCATCATAGAATATCTTCTGTTGTTGCTGTGGACTTGGTATTCAGAGAAGCCAAGAACATAGCCTTTTCAGTGCATTAATTGATAGTCGTTGAATATGATAAATTGATAAAGCTTAATGGGAAAGGAAAGGCCTACATGATGCTTTCTGCTTATCGATAAAGTGTGGAAACTCATTATGACCTCTGAACTTTTCAGTGCTGATCCGTGAAGTGGTTGAAAGAAGGCTAAACAATTATGAGCATAAGGAAGACACACAGCCCTCTATGAGGTCGGATGATGTGTTTCGTGGTCCTAACACAGTGGCAGATCCCTCGGTGAGTTTAGAATTACAGGAGTCAACCATATCCCAATCCCAGAAGTCACTTTTAGACAAACACTCCCAAGAAAGTAATCCCACGGAAGAGGGGGAGCCTGTTTCGAAGAATGACCAAGGAGAACCGAAGGAGTCTGGACAGGAGGAGCTGTCACAACCAGAAGGATCATGGGAGCAAGAAAGCAACTCAGCAGGTGGTCAGTAGTGATACAGTCAGGTACTAGTGCATGTGACCCCAGACTTTAGAAATTATGGGATATTTATCCACCAAATCTTTCTGTCTAATTGACTGAACAAATTATGATTAAAAAATAAAACTAATAAAAAAGACATTTTCATTTATTTAACAGAATATTCAAAGACCATATTGTCATACTAATAATCTTGTGTAACCTCTAGTTTCCCATCACTGTAAGTGTATTTTTTCTTAATCCTCCTAATTTTGTGAATTAATTCCTTTTTGTTAAGTCTCATATCTCATGTTAGATAATCGTGCTGTCAGCCATTAAGCTTGTCTTCTCTGTAGGAAACTAGTATACCCTCACTGGGTAAAGAAACCCTGTGTGTTCCTGAAGGCTGAGGTGCCTCCTCCCTGTGAGGAGCAAAACCCGAGCCATGTTTGGCTAATTAAACACCACCCTTCTACCTTCAGGATATAACTAAAGCTTACTGACTGCTGTCAACCCATTACAGAATCTGGCTTCTCTTTTTTGAATTAGCAAAGGTTCAGGCAACAGCAGAAAAGCAAACACCATCTCTCTCCCTCCACACACACAGCCTCTGTTGTCAGCTGGTTAGAGGTACCCAGGCCTTTTGTGGGTTATTTAGGTCTATTCCTGTTTCAACATTTAGAAAGTATAGGCTTTTACTTTGTAACTAATAAATGTGTTGTTTACATATTTTATTCTTGGCCAAATAGTATGTCTTCTTTCCATACTAGCTTACATAAATGGCTTGTCTCTTTAAAATGTGGCAAGGTATTGGGTACTGTAGACTGCTGTGGTGTACACAGGGGAGTTACACTTGACTATTAGCTCATTTACACCATTTCCTGCAGTAGTGAAAAGCACAAAGACTTCGTCACAGTCTTAACTACTACTGGCAATGACTGAAGTCTTGTGTGTCATCAGGCAGGCATTCGGTCTAGCCTTAGACTGCCGGAGGAGATAGAATCTGCAGTCATTTGAATGGGGTGACTTATTTACGTATCTACTCTTAATTTCTGAAGACCAGTGCAAGAATGTGTATGTGATTATAAACATGGGTGCTCCTCCTCCCTAAAAAACCCTTTCCCAAATCCATGTCTGTTTTGTTCTGTGACCCCCCTGAGCTTAACTGGGGTCATCTGTGTGACCATGGGTTTGGAACTGTCCATTGGAGCCTGAAGGGCTCACCAGTTGGTACAACTGAACAAATGACTCCCGTTCTCCCAGAGTCTGTCAGTAGCCAGTAGTCAGGGGGCCCCATGACTTCCTCCCGTCTTCATGACTGTGACAGGGCAAGTCTTGTGCAGATCCAGTACAGATAATCGCAGCTGTTGTGAGTTCAGGATTACAGTGGCTGTGTTGTATTCAGAAGATGGATTTTCATACCCCTTGTCTGTCTTCCAGCTCTTACAGTCTTTCTGCTCCCTCTTCTTAGTGGCTCTTCAGGAGAGGTTAAATACCTTGTTAGGGCTGACCTCCCAATCATCAGCTGTTCTCAACAGGGTTTCTTTATTCCCTGTAAAGAGAGACTTCTCTGATAAAGCTTAGAGTCCCCTTTGTCTTGTGTGCGGGTATAAATGAAGTATTTAGAAGACAGCTTAAGCTGTGCCAGTTTAACTAAACAGTAGTCAATCCCTGCTAGAGCTTGGGACTTCCTCGGCCATTTGCTCTGATCGCTTTGCAGATGTTTCACTAGACATACACTGTATGCTGTATAATTCAATGATTTATTGAAACATGTGTAAATCCAGAGTCCCCACATTGAGACAGGCTTAGCCTTGTCCCCAATCTGCTGATTCCTAGAGAGACAAAGGTAAGTGGGAGGTCAAGGTATTGTACCGGAGAGAAAGAAACCAATTTTTTATTATCTAGAAACAAGAATTTTTTTAATAGTTATTTATTATACAGTGTGCTGCCTGCATATGTTCCTGCAGGCCAGAAGAGGGCACCAGATCCCATTACAGGTGGCTGTGAGTTAAACTCAGATCCTCTGGGAGAGCAGTCAGTGCTCTTAACCTTGAGCACTGACTCCAGCCCCTGGAAACAAGAATTTTAAGTGGAAAGTTTGAGTTTTCATTAAGTTTATGAAGTTACTTCAGTCTCGTTCAGGGTGTTATAAAAGCTTGTGTCTGAAAGACTTGAGTGTAACCACCAGCTGTAAAGGGGTAGACTGTAGACACTTTGATGTTATTTATTTACCAGGAATCTACCCCTCCTCCTATTTCAGCTAGCACTGAGGTAACAGGAGGTAAGTTTCTCATGGTGCTGCCCAGATCTAGCCAGAGTCTGGCCGTTTTAACTCATATCTGAAAATAGAGTTCAAAACAAGTATTTGTCAGTATGATTTTTAGAAAACAAACTTTAGAGTATATTAATGATCATATTTACCACTAGGGGTCAGTAAAGCCCTGTGTCAGTTAACTTTGAATTCAACTTCATATGTAATTTAATGACCATAAGAAAGCTTGGTGTGCAGATAAAATCTCATTATGTACTTGTGCCACAAGTACATTCAGCCATAGAGATAAATGGAGTCATCCCACTGGTAGGAAAAGGGACGCAGCTGGTTATTACTATTATGGTAAGCAAAATAAGACAGACTCAGAAAGACAGGTGCTGAATTTTTCTCTTATCTGTAGACTTTAGCTTTAAATTTGTGTGTGTACATCTGTGTATATCTGTGTTTGTGTGTATCTGTGTGTGTGTGTGTGTGTGTGTGTGTGTGTGTGTTTTGTCTGTGTTTACCTGTGTGTGCGTAAAGTAGAAAAGGAATTGTGAGGCAGGGGAATGACTTTAAGGGAGGCGAGGGAGTAAGGAGAGAGTAATGTGAGAGGTGAACACAGAAGAGGCAGATGGTGTTCCTGGAGAGAAGGGGACAGTAAGAGAGGGAAAGAAGGAGGGTGTGGGAAGAGGATGGATGTTTGAAAATGAGCTTCATCATTTTGTGTGTAGGGAAAGCATTTTAAAATGCAGTGCAGCCCTTGCAGGTCCAGACTCCCATTGAGTATTTGCCTTGTTGTAACGTCGTCTGCCAGCTTTGTTGTGGTGCCAGGCTCTTAGATGATAATTTAGGCTGGACTCCCGCTGTACTCACTACCTTCAGTCTTCATCCCAGTCTGGACCCTTCAGAGACCCCATTCTAGCCAGCTCATTTCAGTGACCCCATCTGTGCAGGCATGCCATGAGCACTCTGTGAGGCACTCTGTCACAGGACAGCTTTCATCCTGAGGGCTTCAGACTTGGTAGCCAGCACCGTCACATACCAAGTGACCTCGCAGCCCTAATCCTTCTTTACTCACTCTAAAAATGAGGGTGGTTTTTTGTTTGGTTGTTTTTTTGTTTTGTTTTGTTTTTTTGTTGTTTTTTTTTAGTTTTCTTTTTTTAATTAATTTATTATATATACAACATTCTGTTTCCATGTATATCTGCACACCAGAAGAGGGCACCAGATCTCATAAGGGATGGTTGTGAGCCATCGTGTGGTTGCTGGGAATGGAACTCAGGACCTCTGGAAGAGCAGTTGGTGCTCTTAACCTCTGAGCTATCTCTCCAGCCCCCCTTTTTTTTTGGTTTTTCAAGACAGGGTTTTCTGTATTGCTTTAGAGGCTGTCCTGGAACTTACTCTATAGACCAGGCTGGCCTCAAACTTGCTGAGATCCACCTGCCTCTGCCTCCCGAGTGCTGGAATTAAAGGCGTGCGCCACCAACGCCCGGCTAGGGTGTTTTGTTTTGCTTTTTACTTCAAGAGCTAGGAAACAGTTCTTTCATACTCAGTTCTGTCTCCCTGGCCCAGGCAGTGGTAGATGCTTAGTCAGTTACTTGCTCTCAATGTTAGGAGTCTTTGTATATCAAATTAAAAGCTATCCCAGAGCCCAAGTAAAGGCAACTGCCATCAAGCCTGACACTCTTGAGTTCAAGCTCTAGGACCCACACAGTAGGAGGAGAGAAATGACTCCTTCAAGTTGTCATCTGACCTCCACGTAGGGTCTGTGGCATGAACATGCACACACACATTTACACTAAATATATAAAAAAAAATGTTTAAAGCCTTCCCATTTCTAACCTTAGTTGTAATCATGGAGACATGATTATGGGGGGGGCAGAATTTTATTATCATATCACACAGTCATCTACCCCAGTAAGTTTCTCTTTTTTCCTTAAGTGTTCTCTCAGTGAACTATCACTCTTCCAGTTTTTCCTCATATGGCATAGCCCTCACCCTCTACTACCGTGCAGCTTCTGTTTATTCAGGTTCCTCTCATGTCTTTGCTCATATGCTATTGTAGCTGTAACCTAATGCACCAAGGAGTATTATTAAGACCCTTACTCCCATGACTTAGATACCACCAACAAACGTCCTCTACCTCCAATATATACAAACACATCTACAACAGTGGTTCTTAACCTGTGGGTCGTGACCCCCTTTGGAGAGGGTGAATGAACCTTTCACAGGGCTCTCCTTAGACTATTGGGAAACACAGTTATTTATATTACAATTCATAACAGAAGCAAAATTACAATTACGAGGTAACAATGGAAATAATTGTTGGGATGATCACAACATTAGGAACTATATTAAAGGGCCAAAGTATTAGGAAGGTTGAGAACCACTGTTCTAGAACACAGGGAGAAGGTCAAAGTAATATTGAGTAAGTACAACACCACAAAGTCCACACACAGTGCCTTGAACCTTCATGGCCTACTCTAACATATTGCTAAACATTTTGACTCTTGGTAAGTAACTCCACAGCAAGTTAAAGGTGACATATAAGGTCACCTTATTGCTATGAGCATACCCATAGAGCTAATAATCACAAGAGAAAAGGCATAGAAAGACATATCCTAAAGTATAACAGTCTAGGCTAAAACAAAACAATCTTCAGTCCATCCTAAACATGCCATTATATTAAGGGGCAGTTCAGGAATTATCATAAATAGAGAGGAACACACCAGCACCACCACCTCAAATGGCAGAATAAGGACTTCTCAAAATTTGCTCCTCCACAAAAGCAATGGGGGCAGGTGGGCAAAAATTACCCAAATCAGCATGTTTGAAAGTCTGGACTTTAGTCAGACTTGCAGCAATGATGCCTGCTTGTTACTGGAAACAGCAAGCTCGATGGCATTTGCCCTGTCTTAGCCTTGTTTCAGCCCCACGGCCATGAAGACCAGCGGGCTCAGGCCATAACAGCTGACACAACAAGTAGCCTAGCAGTCACTGAAAGGAGCAAAGTAGGCTCAGTGTCCCTCAAAGCCACATTCCAAAAACATTTGTCACTATTTGACTTTGTGTCAGCTCCCTGGAAAAGCCCATTTTTAGGGCCTGACTTTATTTGATTTGACTCAGAGTTTGCTCATTAACAAAGATCCTAACACCAGGGCATTGTTATTAAATAGCTTAAACCAAGAGTGAGTATAATATGACATTTACCTAAGATGTAGACAACAGCAGAAGCAGTAAGAAGGGGATAGAGAACAGGTAGATGAGATAGCCATGGGGAGATTTGAGAACCGCTGACATACCTGGGAATCTGTGTGTAGGTGACTGTGCAACACCCAGAGAAGACTTGAGATAGGATCAGTCCTGTCTGACTGACCTTGAAGGTTGATACAAATAGGAGTTGAAGGCATACCCCAACCCATACAGAGCTTCTCAGCAAAGGGTGGGAGACAATGATTCCCTCAAGTCTAGGGCCAG